GGAAGCCGCTTTCTCAGCTGCCCGCTGGAATAGGAATTTATATGACTAGGAATTGTCTATCGGCAGGTTAGCCGCTGCTGACTCGGAATGGGGCGTCGACTCTACGTTAGTTTTACATTGCATTCTGCCTATTCGACTTGCCGACTCAATACTGGACCTCAAGCCGATGTCTGCCCTGCCATTGTCATTTATTCATCATCATCATCAATGCCTTTCACCCTTGGCAGGGTATAGGCCACACAGTGGCGGTGGGTAGTGAAGGGCTTACGGGCTTGAGCCCCTCACCCACACCCTGTCCCCACCCCAACTCTATCCCTTAGTTAATGAAAGTTTCTTAAATAACGAAATAAGCAGTTGAAACCGTTATGATTGCACACAGTGAACACACAGTTATCAGCTTGGCGGCTTGCCCGTTTATCCAATCATTGTTGTCACCGCTTACAACTATAGTAACCTAACAGCCAATATAATGTTGTTAGGGCTCAGAAAGAATGAGCCGGTTCCCACGCCCGTCTTTAATGAAACCCTTCTCGTAAAAAAGTAAAAGACTTTTTAAAAATAGCACTGCACAGAGGGCTCACGCTCTCCCAGCCCTGACAAAGGGTTGAAAGTTTACGACACACTTTCCCCCAGTGACACAGTTACCTAAGCGCCCATTGGGCCTTTGTTAGGCGCGTTATATTTTCCGCAACAACACGACCCAATCCACTTCATAGACGGTATGTGTTTGGAGTGCTGTGTGTTTGTGCCCCGAGATTTAACAGTTATTTATTACATCAAACCACTTTTGAGGCAACTTTTTCTTCAGATAAAAACTAATAAGAGAAAATTGGAGGTGAAACGGCTTCGTTAACTAAGAACAAAGTGATGGAAGACAAAGGTGACTTTTCTCGTTTGAATGGTTCTCAAAATGCCGTGGCTCGCCGTGAGTATAGAAAAATGATCACTGTTTTGTTCTTATTGCTTGCTTTTTGGTGGTAAAGAAGTGGGAGAAATCTAAGCCCCACCCAAATCTTGGTCCACCCACCGCCACTGAGGCCACATACAAGCTCCTGCCATTTTTGTCTATCCTGGGCCATCCTTCCTAGCTCGTTCCAAGTGAGCTTCATCTCTCTCATGTCCCTTTCCACACATCTCCTCCTTGTCTGTCGTGGCGTACCCCTGCCTCGTGCTCCATGTGGGTTCCATGACGGTCTTGTGATGTTTCCGCTGGGCTTTCTGAAGGTGTGTCCCATCCAACGCCATTTTCTTAGTCCTATTTCTACTTCTATATCCTTTTGTCCTGTTCTTTCCCATAGCTCTTCATTTCTTATTCTATCCTGCCACTTAATTCTCAGGATACTCCTCATACATCTGTTGATGAAAGTCAGGACTTTATTCAGCACTGTCTTTGTTGTCTTGCAAGTTTCGCAGCCGTAGAAGAGCACAGACTTAACATTGGAATTAAAGAGTTGAATCTTAAATAATGTCATTTATTAATTGGGATAAAATCTTACTTTACATTTTAAAAAATAAATACTCTAAGGTAACGAATAAGCACCCCCCACCCCCCTGCTATTTATTCCATAAATCTACTCCATGTTTATTATTTTCCAGCTTTCCACGGCCGACGATCATGAAAAAAAAATATTATCTAGATCTAGAATCTTGAATCTAGATATCAGAATGAAACTTCTTTTTTTGTGTTGTAAATGGCAAATTACCCTCAGTATTAGTACCGGTACCGGTTTGGCTACCTCAATTTTTTGTCCATTTTTCAAACTTGTGTACATTGAATTATACTTTTCTAAGAGACGTTTCTATTTTTCAGTATTGGGGGTGGGCATTTTTTTAATTAAAGCCTTCTTTAGATCTAGCAATTGCGATTCTTCGTTTTATTTCGGTGGAACACTTGACATCAGATGCTATTATTAGATACTTAGACTATAGAACCTGTCTGATCCTTTCATATTTGCATATATGAGATTACACACCTGTATATGATTTCCTGCTAAAAAAAGATAATAATATCAGGCCTCGGTTTATTATCAGCAAGCATTCTATTTACTTCACATTCAACAATTACCCGTTACGTTCTCTTAAACGTCTATTACTATTGAGAATTTATATTGTTTAACATACAATTTACACAGAAGAAACTTGTTTTTGGAAGCTGAAATGGCTTTTATAAAAACCACCTATAAATGCAAAAATGCACGAATTTAAAAGATCTTGTAAGGAAGTCATGAAATAGTTGTTGTTTTTTTTTTCTTTCCTTTTATTTTAAAAACCTAATCTCTTTTTTTAAATTCTGGAATTCCGAGAACCAATGGTCTATATAATATGTGCTCCTTAATTGGACTCTCAACACATTAAAATTTTAACCCGTCGTTCGTAATATTCAGCGGTGGCTAAACACAAGGATCCACTCAACCATGAGTACTTAACCATACACACTGTACAGCTTACAGTATGGAGGTGTTTCCAGAGACGATAGGGAGGGTGAGGTTGCCCGAATAGACATCATTTGTGGAGTTGATATAACCTGAAAGGTGAATATGGGCTACACCTTAAATAGTTCTCTGATTCGGCTCAAAATTATGAAATTTGAGTTGAGGCATTTAAATTTTAGCTTCCGCAGCCTTTCCTACAACTATTTCATTGCATAAGAACCCCCCAAAATATCATTTCTTCTCATACCGAGCATGTTTGTCACCATCTATACCTCATAAAGTCAATATTTTATTTTGCTTTATCGGCCGTTTTCTCAAAACGCGACTTTTCTCTATACTTTTTTGAATAACTCCACCATTTTTCATCCAATCTTCATGAAATTTTCACAGAATGAAGAGAAGATGTAATTCTATGTAATACTAAAAATTTGTCTGTTGAATTTTTGATATATGGAATAGATTTTTATTGGTGGTGTCTTGAGTGTGGATTTTCACGGATTTTTTTGCAAACTCGAATAACTACCTCAGGAAAAAATTCATAAAAATTTTTCTAATTCGTTTAGGAAATAAAAATAACTGCAACAGACACATTTTTAGATCTGATGTTTGTGAACACGCATGCAAAAAAAACAAAAAAACCCAACCAATTTCCAAAAGCAGTATTCGGTATTCAATACGTAAGACCAGGCAAGACATGTCAACAAAATCCAATATAATATGCCCGCCGTATCCATGGAAACGAAGATTTTTTTCTCTAATTTGATTGCGGATTTTAAGACTCCTTACTATGCTTGTTATATGTGTGAAATTTGGTAAAATTTCGGTTGACTAATAAGTGAGAAAGCCTTCAGGTGTAGCCCCCTCCCCCCCCCCCCCCCCCCTTTTAAGGGCACTTTATCATTATTTCCGTACCTTGTGCGAAACTTGCGAAAACAGTTCGGTGGTGAGGAAATGTTCAATACAAAAATTCCTCTGCTCTTTGCTAATCTTAACCATGAACTCAACTTAGCAGACAAAGAAAACTTGAGAAAAACTATCTGCAAACTTCTGTTAGCCTGTTACTGTTTGACTGTTGTAGTTTGCAGTGATAATGCAATTATCGTTGAGATTTTTAGTGGTAGGCCTAATGCAAACTATAGTGTGTTATGCAAAAAAAAAAAATAAAAAATGGGTACATCGATAATTATCTAGCTGAAAATGGGTTGTTTTTTAACAATGACAATGACAATGACAATCTTTATTAATCTGGCATGGAGAAATTTATCTTGGTCGTTAACAATGGCATAGTAGGCGTTGCAAAAGTTAGACTTAAATCATGCGCAAACGCACAAGACAGGACACTAGGCCAAGTAAATACAATATGTCTCATGTGCTGGGACAACCCGTTCCGGAAACATTCTCCCCCTACCTCTCTCTCTCTCTCTCTCTCTCTCTCTCTCTCTCTCTCTCTCTCTCTCTCTCTCTCTCTCTCTCTCTCTCTCTCTCTCTCTCTCTCTCTCTCTCTCTCTCTCTCTCGATCTCTCGATCTCTTTCTCTCTCTCGATCCCCCCTCTCTCTCTCTCTTTCTCTCTCTCTCTCTCTCTCGGTTTCATTTGTAGCACTGTGTGTTCAGAAACCTCACGGTACTGCAGTTGGTACGAATGAATTTCTATATCTGTCTGTTCTTGCTTTTTTGGAAATGTAGAGCAAAACTATTCTGTGGATTCATCTAAAATGAATAGATCTACCTGACAAATTCCTTAATTTTGACTTCCAAATATTGTGTACAAATTTGAAACTCAAAACTTCGGGTGTGGAGGAAAATATTAGATTAGTAAAAAAAAGTTGTACATTTTTTTTGGGATCACCCTGTATTATTGATGGAAGGTGTGGCTGGAGTTCTGTTAAAATAAACTAGCCAATAGAAATGTAGGCCTACGGTACCGCAATTTTGCTGAAAGCTAGATCCTTACTTTCAAACAAAACCTTACTATAACTCTTTACCAGACATTGTTTTTGCCTTATTTTAAAAACTACTGCTCAGCTATGGAATAGTTACACTGTTACAGACGAAGATTTAATTTACATTAATAATCTAGACCTACATTAGATCTAGATCTAGAAATCTAGATCAATACAACTTTTAAGAAAAGCTAAATATTTTTTATTAGGCTGATCCTCCAAAACTCTGCTAGCAGCATAACAATTTTGGAGAGAGACATTATAAGCGAAGTCATTTCGCCACACATAATTGGGGTGTGACGAAATGACCGCATTGCACAATTGGAGTGTCTACGTACACTGTAACCGGGCACCTAGCCTCAGTGTCTACGTACACGGTAACCGGCAATCGGGCATGTAGGCCTAGTCCTGGACTAGTCCAAAGAGCTTAGAACTGTAAACTCCTTGGCCTAGTCTCAGTGTTATGTACACGATAACCGCGCTGTTCAGAACTCCAAGTTCAGTTTTTGTCATCCGGTTTTGTCTTCAACCCCACCCCTCCCCCTGACTGTACCTTAAAAATAATCAATACCCCCCCTTCCCCATTCTGTAGCCCTATACTTAGCAGCGCACAGACTTTGAATGAATTTTGGTGACCCCAACCGGTACTCATTATGTTTATGTGGTGCGAACGAACAGGTTCACTGACCTGTCACGGTGGCGGTGGCGAACCTGACAAGACTCTTTAGTATGACTTTCTTTTCTTTCAGCAAGTGACAGCACAGGACAAAAATTAATACACTGTATTGATTTATTTTCATTCCCCGTTACAGTGTTGGTAGACTGTTGTATATGCTGAGACTAGGTGCCCGGTTACCCTGTACGTAGACATTCCGTTGCACAATTGCAGCGACCAAACATGATCTTTGGTAACCCAGCTGTTCGTGCATCAAGGCAAAGAGTTATTACTATCTTTGATCAAGGCCAGCAGTGGGAAGATCCGCAAACTATTTATAGAACCAATTGACCTCCCTCCACTCCCCTCCCTGTAGCCTAGTAGAAAATCTTCCAAGGCTACTTCCGACGTATTTTGGCACTAATTGGATCAGGGAACAGTGAGGCCTTAGTTCTAGACTAGATCTAGATCTAGATCTAGATCTAGATTCTAGATTCTAGATTCTACTTGCCTTAGATCTACTAGATCTAGATCTAGATCTGCTTACAACGCCAACCTTCGTCGTTGAGGGTAGAGTCCTTGAGTGGCATCCAGCCAGCCGCCATCCAGTTCATCCACTGTCCAAGTTTGACTCGAGAGCTACATTCGTAGGACATAATATGCCTTCTGTGTCGAATGTCCACATCTCGGCCTTCCTACTCAGTTTAGGTCTAACAGGTCAGTCTCATACATTACTCAAAGAACTGGTTAGACTTATGGATCTAGATCTAGATTCTAGACCTATAGCCTATACTCCTATAGATACTACTATACTCAGACTATACACCAAGCAGTAATAAAGAACATCAACATCTAATACTAATAGACCGGTCCAGAAGAATGTCTACAAATCTAGTAATCTAGTCTTGTGCCACTGACTGGCTGGTCATGCTTGGATCTAGAATCTAGTTCACAAAGTTACTGATAGATCTAGCCTTAGAAACTAGCTTCTAGATCTAGGGCCTAGCCTTTGATTGCACAGTAACCGGTCATTTCATCACATGGTCATCTCGTCACACCCCAATTACGAGATGTGTGACGAAATGACTTCGCTTTTATTTTTGGCCGGCTCTATTTCTCAGAACGTTCAGAACTCTATTTCTCTGAACGTCTGTGTGTGTGTAGGCCTATAAGGTGTGAACAGGGCGTGGGGGGCGGGGATAGGGGGGGTGTGGAGGGATTTTTTTTTTACATGAAGGATCTTATTTTTTGTTCTATAACTTAACTAAATATTAAATATAATGCAAAATAGGTTACTGCCAAGGTCGATCAGTCTTGTTTTCTCGCAGTAGGCCTACCTTTTGAAGGTATTTTCAAATGAAGCATAGTCCGGGAACGTTGGCCCAACCACAACTGAAATTATCAGTGAATATTCAGACATTTAAAAATCTCTCTAGCTCTAGAAATTTAATTTGATGCAAAAAAAATACTTCTTCCCAGTCCTCGCAGAAGGGTAGAATGAAAGATGACGCCTAAATCTCACAAATATAACCAAAAAATTTTGAGAACGGAAACCGTTTGCAGAAAATAGAGTTCAAGTTTATTTTCCCAAACGTTCGGAGAAATAGTCACTTCGTTTATTTTTATAAGCCTATCTCTCCAAAATTGTGCTAGGCCTAGCAGCGTTTTGGAAGATATTAGCCTTAGCTTTTTTTGAAGTTGTAGATCTATAAATTATTAAGGCCGGCTTTATTTCTCCGAACGCTCGGGAAAATAAACTGGAACTCTATTTTTCTCCGAACGGTTTCCGTTCTTGAGATTTGTTGATAATTTGCGAATGGAGTGGCGCATGTGCACGTGTGTGTGTGCGTGTGTGTGTGAGGTGTGAAAGGGGGGGGGGGGG